CAGCCTAAATGTTCCGTTTTGTGGATTGCCTCTTCTGGACAGTTTCAATTTAGATGAGAGTCGTGGCAGTGTCGTGGGCTTTCGCGTGGCTGGCTGCTCTTCACTCCAACGAATGTTTCTCGAAGTTCCTCACATGTGGTAGCATGAGCAATGCCTCGTTCGGTTTCTAGCGGTAAGTAAATACTCCGCTTGTATGGTATTACCACTTTTCTCTCTCGTCTTCAACTAGCATTTGATGGAAATTTGATTTTTTTTTCTATTTTTCTACTATTATGAATAATGTTAGTTGTGGAAGCATTTGTGTGCAGTTGTATTATTTTTATTACTTTATTACTTTATTTTATTTTTTTTGGAGACAGTCCTCACTCTGTTTTCCCCAGGCTAGAAGTGCTGTGGGCGACCTCCCAGAGTGCTAGGATTACAGGTGTGAGCCACCATGCCTGGCCACTATATATAAGTTTTTGCATGGACTTTTTTTTTTTTCCTTCACAGGTGACTTGTTTTGGGGTTTTTTTTTTTTTTTTTTTTGAGGCAGAGTCTCCCTCTGTCGCCCTGGGTAGCATGTCTAGAGTGCTGTGGCATCAACCTAGCTTACAGTGACCTCAAACTCCTGGGGTCAAGGGATCCTTAGCCTCCCAAGTAGCTGGGACTACAGGTGCCCACCACCAGGCCCAGCTAATTTTTTTTTTTTTTGTATTTTTAGTTGCTTGGCAATTTTTTTTCTCTGTTTTTATTAGAGGCAGGGTCTTTCTGTTGCTCAGGGTCTCCAACTCCTAAGCTCAAGCAATTCTACCACCTTGGCCTCCCAGAGTGCTAGGATCACAGGTGTGAACCACCACACCTGGCCTATGGACATGTTTTCAGTTCTCTTGGATATATACTTAGGATTAGAATTGCTGGGTCATATAGTAACTTTGTGTTTAAACTTTTGAGGGCCTGCCAGACTGGTTTCCAAAGCAGCTGAACCATCTTCCATCCCACCAGCAGTGATAGGGGTTCTGGTTTCTCTGCATTCTCACCAATACTTGCTATAACTGTCTTTTTGGCTATAGCTGTCCTAGTGGGTATGAGGTTATCACATCTTAGCAGGGTGCACTGGCTCATGCCTGTAATCCCAATACTTTGGGAGGCTGAGGCAGGAGGATTGCTTGAGGCCAAGAGTTTAAGACCAGCCTGGGCAACATAGTGAGACCCTGTCTCTAAAATAAGAAAATTAGCTGGGCGTGGTGGCCCATGCCTGTAGCTGGCCCATGCCAGCTTGCTCTTCTGGAATTTCATGTTAGATGAGATCGTGCGTGTGTGGGTTCCCTTGCTTGGGCTGTTTCCCACACGTAGTGTTTTCAGGTCCTCTTGTTTTGTTAGCATGGAGGCAATGCCTTTCGTTGTTTCTCGAGTTAAGTTAATTTATCGTTGTATGGATATACCACATTTTTCTCTCTCTTCATACATTGATGGAAATTTGTTTTTTTTCTATTTTTCTACTATTATGAATAATGTAGTTGTGAACATTTGTGTGCAGTTTTTATTATTTTTATTTATTTATTTACTTTATTTTATTTTTGAGACGTCTTCACTCTGTTGCCCGGGGGCTAGAGTGCTGTGGAATGGTGGGTCGTGTCGCCCTTTATGGTCCTGGGCTCGTGTGGGCTCAGCTCCCGAGATGCTGGACTACAGGCAGGCGGGGGCACCAGTGGCTATTTCTTTCTATTATTTTTAGTTGTCCATGCTAACTTGTTCTTTCTATTTTTTTTTCAGTAGAGACTGGGGTCTCTGGCTCTTGGCTAGGCTGTTCTCTGAACTTTGACCTCAACGATTCCACCCACCTCAGCCTGCCCAGAGGCTGTAGGATTTCCAGGGTGTCGGGTGCCACCATGCTAGGCCACTATATATAAGTTTTTGCCATGTACTTTTTTTTTTTTTTTTTTTGCCTTCACAGGTCAACTTGTTTTTGGGTTGTTTTTGTAGTTTTTTTTTTTTTTGAGGCAGAGTCTCCTCTGTCGCGCTGCCCTGGTACATGTCTAGAGTGCTGATGGCACTCAACCTGAGTTTGTATACTGAACCTCAAACTCTCTAGGCTCAACGCGACTCCTCCTGCCTTAGTCCC